TAATTTGTGATAATATTTATGGCAGTAACTTTCACAGTTTGATAACTTTAATTCTGAAAGTATCAAGCATCGTTTCGTCTGTTGAGAGCTATAAAAAAAGGAAACTTCATGACCCGTAACGGTGAACTGAAACCATTAGACGATTAGTTAATTGACTGAAAAATCTATCGGTTCTGAATTCTTCAAATATGCCCCAATTTTCCCGGTTCACGCTTCTCAAATGTGAATATTTTCTTTGTCTTATATGAGAGTAAAGAGAATATATTTGCATTTGGACTGTTGGGTTTTATGAGAGGACGTCACCTTGGGTTCTGGGAAACTGTGTGTTTCACTGTCCTCTGATATTTTATATATACGAGACGACCACCGACCTGCAAAGACGATCAGCGGGTTAATTCTCATTTAGCCGTCTCCGTAGCCTGAGTGGATGAATGAAAGAGTGAGGATTCAGCTGTTCAACTGTTAACATGATACTGATTTCTGAAAGCTGGTCGGTTCAGTTCGGTTCAGTTTGTCTGGTCCTACTCGTTCTTCTCCATTACAACCACATATGCGCTTTTTCTGCATGTGTATTCCGTCATTATCTTGCTCTACAGCTTCACTACTGTTCGCAATCTCCACAGGACACATTTAAAAGGGAGTTTCTTCCAAAGAAAAATGAGACATCCAGCATTTAATTGGAGTGACAGAAACTCATATAAATTGGCATAAATAAACACTTTTAAAAGAATGGTAGGAATGTTAAGTCCTTTCCTGGTAACGGCTTTTTATAAACTAAATATTTTACAGTCTTAGTGTTACTCTATGACGACTTCAGGCAATTACTTTCAATACAAATACGCAGTGGTTTGGAATAAAACTCCTCATTCACTATTTCTCTTTTTTTTAAATCCTGCATCACAAAACTCTCTAAAGCGTCTCAAGCTTCAAATGCTGCGATTGAAAAGGCTGTTATATAAAAAGTAACAAATATAAAAGGCCTCCTCTGCCTATTAGGTCAAGCCCAGCCATGCTTGAATAGAATGACTGTGAAAAGTCAACATTTTTCTGCTCCGGCCCATGTGATGTGGTGTGAGAGGCATGCTCAAAGGAATGCCAATGCAGTGAGGGTTTCCCTTGTATCGCTGCTACGGCTCGCTGTGGTTTAGAAAAGCAAACCCAGTGACGCAAAGTGCCATCTGTGGGGTAGAGAGGGGAGACAATACAGGCCCCATGGGGGCGGGGGAGGAAGAGATAACAAGTGCCTGCTGCTGCTAATTTTAACTTATATCAGAGAAAAAGCAGAGAAAGCAGAAGAAATATTAGAGTATTAACCTCTGACATCTTCGTAACAAGCAAATGTCCGATCTGCTGTTCGGTGTATTTAGAGTTAGTTAAGTTTTGTGTTTGCTCTTCTTTTGATCTTTGGGAGGGAAGATCCGAGCGCTGATGAGTTTTTATGTAATGTTATAGGCTGTGGTTTGTGGAGGAGGCATTAGAGACATTATTGAGTCCGTACAGATTAAGGCTTCAGACGAGCCAATCTTAAGAGAACTTTGTGTTTTTGAAAAGACTTTATGATACATTTATTGTAGAGCTAACTATTATTTTCATTATTAATTCATCTGCCAGTAGTGTTACATTAGTTTGAGTCCAGGTTGAAGTTTTTTCTATTGTGTCGGACTTAAATACTCTCGGCAAATAATTTAGTTGGTCTTGAGCGAGTGCAGCAATAATCTTAGTATAAGTATAATATTTAGTATAATTATTAGTATAATAATCTTCTGGAGTAACTTCGTCCTTCAAAACAAAACTATTGATTAAGTTAACAGGTTATTGGTTTAATTCAGAATCCATCTAAAATGGACACTGACATTGGCCTGGTAACCACGGTTGCCTGGTTACCTAACCATGGTTACCAGGCGGCCAATCAATGTCACTTGCAATCCCATTCAGTCTTTCTGTCTTGGCCCTTGACTCCGTCTCGACTGGTCCTGGTCTTGGACTTGTTATGGACTCTTATTTTATTGATTAATCGTTAAATCTATTAAGTGTCAGAAAAACCTGAAGAATTACCATCAGGCTCCGAAAGTTCAAGATCCGAAGAAACGTCTAAAACCCCAGAAACATGAACTTTACAATCATATAAAACGGGAAAAAAGCAGCAGAGCCTCATGTTGAAGAATCATGTTGCTATTGTTTAAATAACTTCAACAATGAATTCATCTTCAAGATAGTTGCCCATTCATTTCAATTGTCTACTGACTAATCAATTATACGACCAATCGCTGCAGCTCGAGTTTATAGTTGTAACTGAGGCATCAGGTTTAATGACGTTCTCCTATGAAACAAGATCACAAAGATTCCAACACTGCACACAGCAGTCGATACTGAAATACTGTAATATAGCTCATAGCAAACAATGCAACTTGTGTAGCGTCCTGGTGTATTTCTAGAATTAATAGTAGTTATCAGCAATCTCCACTATATACAGCCAAAATAAGAAGTCAGTTGTATATTTTTTTCAGATATGCATCGTCCAGAAAGCTTGAAAGTCTTAGATGTCACAAACCACACATTAAAAACATACACATCTGCACATTTTTGGGGGGTTTTATCAGCGTTATGGTGCTAAAAAATATTAAGTTTGTCCCGAGGGTGGCACTCAAGAGAGGGTCAGAGGCTCATAAAAACCAGAAAGGGTTTTTCCTCTCGGATAACCAGAATGTCCAAATGGCAACCTGCCAACTGGGCTGTAAGAAACCCGGCGCTCAGAGGATGAAACAAACTAAATCTTATACTCCACCTCTAGCAGATCATAAAAACACCACATATGTTTAAAATGTCTAAAACTAAACTATATGTGACAACAATCACTGGCTTTAATCTGCAGGAAAGTCCAACGCTGCTTTCTGGGAAATGCAGTGAAAACGACGGCTGTGTCGCGGCCAAGATGACACCAAAATAAAAAACGACAGACACCCCAAACAGCTTCCTGTCTGCCACCCACAAACACAACACCCTCCGCCCTCCTGTGTCTAAAGCGGTCAGACAGCGAGCCAGAAAGGGGTTATTTTTAAAAGCCTTTATCTCTCCATCTCTGCTGCTCATTGTTTTCCCATATTGCTGATCCGAGAGTAAACGGTAAACATCTTTTGTGTGCTCTGCCGCCGCCGCAGGGGGAAGAAATAAGTTCCAGGGTGGAGGGCTGGGTGAGTCATGAATACTTTTGTGTCACTGCGCGCCGATCAATAATTGACGTGCGGTGCTGAATTGAGACGATACGATGCTTGCCCCTCCAGATGACTCAAGAGAACGAGTGTGGGTCAGCTCAACCCATCCCTCAGGTTACAGCGTTAAATATTCAAGCCGTACCTTTTGCATAATTTACCTTGTCAACATACCGAGGTAATGAGTTAGAGGAAGAGGAGGAGGAGGCTTCAAGTTTGAGGACAGGGACTCGGGAGCTCAGCAGAAAAAACCCCGGGACTTTTTAAACCAACTCCTCTTCGGGGCAAAGCTTTGAGTCGTATGATGCAAGTGAGTCCTCACACGTCTACGCAGGGGATCAAACAGGATAACTAATGTTATAAAACACTAATCTGAGAGTGTTCGTGGCTTCAGGCTGCTCGTCTGGCTGACTTTATGCTCCAGGTGGAGGCATCTTTCCTTTAGTTCGAACCACTGCAGAGCGTGTTCCCTGCTCGCTCCCTGGTACCAGCTCAATGTGGTCCTTCCTCGTCATGTGATCTCTGCAACAAAAAAAAAATTCCAGAGCTGCTACTGGAGCCCAGCGCACATGGCGGCCCTTTTTTTTTTT